ACCCAATCACACAAGAAAAGGGAACAAGCCGCAAGTCTCCACAAGGTCTCACCAAATTCTCCATGGTTATTTGATAAACTGTTCAGGCCTAGGTCCATTGCTCAAAATAATTTTGCAAATTGAATTTGTAATATTGTTATTCTTTATATTCTGTATTGTTCTTTTGAATCTTCATACACATTATTTGTAAAATTTCCAAAGAAATACAACTTTTAACAAAGGAATACTAGCCCAGGACTTTGAGATGATAATCAAAGCCTAAAGAGCAAAAAAAATTGAATTTGACAATGAACTCCTTGAAGACAGCCTGATAGTTTTCTTTTTGGTCCTCTGTGATTCTCAAAAGCAATTCAAAGTATTTTTTTTTTTTTAACATTGACTGTTGGTAGTAAACATTTTCCCTCTAATGTGAGATCAGACCGATTGGAACAGATCCTTCCCAGTGCCAAGGGACAATTAAACCTAAATGTTTTATCAGTGATGCTTTCAGAGAAATAACCTTATCAAAAGGAGGAATGTGGGAATTAACAATACAAGAATCACGTATCAAAATCCTAAGCACAATGACGTCAACAAGGACCACAAAAAAGCTCTCATGTGTGCATTTCCAAAGTACCTGTATGTCTACTTGTTGCCTTGTAACTAGCCTGTCTCAAGAATAGTCTGTGGCCCCAGCATTTCAGATAAACCAGGTAGTGCCAATGTATCCAATGAATTCCATGAGCTTTATTTTGAAGCTGTTTATCTGGATTTCTTTTCTTCGTCTTTAGAAAAATCACCTTTTCCCTGATTTCTTTGGGTGTATGCCTAGGACTTCCCTAGCTTTCACAGCCTCAATTGCAACCCTTTCCTCTTCCCAAATAAAATCCTTTGGTCTGCAGAAGGCATTGGCTCAGTGGTTAAAAATGACAATTGAGACACCTGCAATCCATATCCAAGTGCCTGGATTAGAGTCCAGGCTCCGCTTCTGATTCCAGCTTCCGGTGACACACACTGGGGGAGGCGCCGGGGATGGCTCCCTGCCACCAGCATGGGAGATCTGTTTGAGTTCCTGGCTGCTAGCTTCAGTCTGACCCTCCCCCAGCCATTGTGGACATTTGGGGAGCAAATTAGCAAATGGAGACTCTCTCTCTCTCTCCTGCCTTTCAAAAAAATGATAATGAATAAAATGCTTAAAATCCATTGTTCCATATGGCCTATGTCTGAGTTTCTTTTTTTGTGGTTGATAAGCTGATCCTGAGTTATATAACTAATGAGTTCTCCTGAGTTCTCTGGGACATTCTAGACCCCTAAGGGTAGATGATTGGTCAGGAGTAATGGAGATCTGTACTTGTGATTGGCAACTGATGTAGAATTAACCTTGTGGGATTGAGCTCTTGTAGGATCTAATGCTAAAAGTCTTGGTAGAGACAGAATTGAATTAAATTGTAGGCCACCTAGCTGGTGTTTGGAGAGCCCACATTCATCTAGTGTCAGACGTGTTGTTAGGGTGTAGAGATTCAGAGTGTGATTTCCGAGTTATTAAAATAAGGACTTCAGCATGGAGACATCCACTCTCTTGTGGTGGAATTTATATTCTATTCCAGTTTCTATGCCCTGTTCCCTTATAATATTAATCTTCTGTCCCCTAGTTGTGTCCCTGACCCTGTATTCCTTTTTGTAAGAGTTCACATTCTTCATTCTGAGTTTTATTTGTAATCAAACCAAGACTTTCATAAAGTTTCTTGATTGAAAATGAAACGGGCGTTTGAACTTTTTCACCGGGTTCTTCAAGTTATACTGTAAAGTTAATGACTGATCAGATGCACATGCATTCAATGTACCTGGCCCATTCTGGTGAACTTTTTGTTCCCCATCATTGTTATCATAAAGCAGATAGCATCACTGACTCTTGTACTCTCAGTTCTTCTTTATTATGTTACAAATCCAGGCAGTATTTTGATTGTACCTGGGCATACTTGGCAGTCTTGCAATATCTAACTTACGGAGGAGGTCTATGATCACATCCTTTCCTTAATTTCTCCAAACCACTTAATCTCATTGAGAGAAAAGGTGAGAGTAAGAACAAGGAAAAGAGAGACAGAATGAGAGAGGGAGAGAGAGACACCATTAGTGCCAGCCTTGGGGTTACAGAATTATGAAAATTTAAGTGTATTGCTGCCTGACCATGGCTTTACTTGGGCTTCATAAATTCAACCAAAACCTTGGGTGTTTATTGTTGTTGTTGTAATATTTATATTCCATTTTTTTCTGGTTAAAATATTCAAGGCAGAATTAAACATTATTAACACTGAAACTTCATTAACAATGAAAGATAATTTTTGAGGCAGGTGTTGTGGCACATGGGTTAGGCTGACACTTGGGACATCTGTATCCCATAATGGAGTGCTGGTTTGATTCCTTGTTGCTGCTCCACTTCCACGATAGCTTTCTGCTCACGCATGGTGGGAAGACGCAGATGATAGCTTAAGTGCTTGGGACTCTGCCACCCATGTAGGAGACTCAGATGGACTTCCAGGCTCCTGGCTTCAGGCTGTTCTAGCCCTAGGGATTAACCCAGCAGATGGCATTTTTCTTTTTTAAAGATATTTATTTTATTTATTTGAAAGGTAAAGTTATGGCCATGGTGGGATGTGTGGGATACTCTATGGGCTGGTTCACTCCCCTAATGGCCACAATGGCTGGGACAGCCTGAAGCCAAGAGCCAGGAGTTTATCTGGGTCTCACACACGGGTGCAGGAGCTCAAAAATTTGGGTCATCTTCTGCTGATTTCCTAGGCACATTAGCAGGGAGTTGGATTGGAAGTGGAGCAGCCAAGACTCAAACTGGCACCCATATGGGACTCTGCCTTTGCAGGTGGCAGCTTAACCTGTTATGCTACAATGCTGATCCTTTAAAATGTTTTAGAAAATGTTTAGCAAATTAAAATATATTACTAATATAAAGAAAATCAATTTCATATATTTCATCAGTACAGTTGTGAGAACCATACTTCCCTCTTTTCCCTCTCCCTCCCTCAATCCCTCTCCTTCCTTCCTTTTTTTCTTTAATTTTTACAAAGACATAATTTTAATCAACAGACTTAATTCACTACTAACTATAATATTCAACAAGTATAAAGTAGGAAGACCACAGTTCCACAGAAGTATAAACAGCAATCATATCACAAGATATCTGTTTCATCCTATTTTTTTTTTTGTATTTTATATTAACTGCCGCATTTTGGAGAAAGCATATATTTGCCTTTTGGGGACTGGCTTATTTCACTAAGCATGATGGCTTCCAGTTGCATCCATTTTGTTGCAAAAAAACAGGATTTCATTCTTTTTTATGGTTATTTGAAAGACAGAGTTACAGAGAGAGAAGGGGAGACAGAGACAGGTCTTCCATTCACTGTTTCACTCCTCAAATGGCAGGAACAGCCTGGGCTGTACCAGGCCAAAGCCAGGAGCCAGCCAGGAGCTTCTTCAGAGTCTCCCATGTGGGTGGCAGGGACTCAGGGACTCAGGCCATCATCTGCTGCTTTCCCGGGTGTGTTAGCACAGAGTTGGATTTGAAGTGGAGCAGCTGGGACTCAAATCAGCACCCATATGAGATGCCAGTGCAGCAGGTGACAGCTTAACTCACTGCACCACAGCACTGGCCCCGTCAAATGTCTTAACGATTACATTTAAAGGTTAAGAGTTCCTTCAGGACTCAAATCAGTAGTTACAACCCAAGAAACTACTGTCCCAAAAACTAGTAAGCAGAACTCTAATGCAAACCCGTTTAAGCAACTTTCCAAAGTAATAGTTGACTCACCATCCTGGGTTGCTTTAATAGTTACTGATTTCTGCAAACATGAAAAGGTACTATTCCCTGCAATTAAGTTTAGGTTGCTTACTAATTGGCTTTATATCTTAGAGACAATAGGATTTTGGCTTAGCTAATGGTACAATTCATGAATCTAAGCTTGGGATACATAATAAATTTTTCTCAACATCAAAAGTCAAATACCACTTACTTAAGAAAAACTAGATTAACAAGAAATATTGAAAATGCCTGGGATAGAACAACCTTACATGTAATAATATTATCAACAACAGATACCAGCACAATACTTAACGGTGTTAGAACTATGTTTACATGCACTTCTTGTAAGTCTCAGTTACCTGTTGATGTTCTATAACATACCATAGAATACGATACCTTGAAAGACTGTGGCCCTCTTTTTAGTTGCTTCTTCATGTGTCCTTCTCCCTCTCTCTATGCTCATTACACCTTCCTTGACTTGAATCTCAATAGGTAACACAAACTTGTTGGAAAGGGTCCTTGATATATGGGATCTCAGGATAGCCACTTTACTTGTCTTCAGGATCATCTCTTTAGCTATGTAAAAGAAATGCCCAGAATTCCTCCCTTTTTCTCTCTTCATAATCCAAAGGATGACAGTAGGAGGACACATGGGAGATTCTCTGAGACAACACCCACCCACCCCCGCAAGCTATTATTCAAACAATGCTTGATGTGAGTTGGGAGTTCAAAGACAACATCTGGATATAAATGGAACACCCTGCTATTCTAATAAGATGGCCCAATGAGAATCTCAACAAAGGTGGCCTAGCTAGGAGCAGCCTGTGAAAGCATTGGCAGAAAACACATTCAAATATCTCACTTTATTCATTAGGATTATCTTTGACTAGATTCTCCTTCACCTTTCCACTGAAGTACCACAGTTCACACTTCCAGAGGCAGTTCTCCTTGCTGAAATATTCCTACAACATGGCAAAGCCATTCCAGGATTTTTTTTTTCCCAGAAGTTTGTGGATGAGTTTAGAGGCCTGGTTGCCTCCTATAAACTCTGTGGGGTCACATTCCTCCAGTGCCTTCCAATTCCTTTGTGCCCAGGAGTCAATCTTTGATGTCTATGGCCTTGCTGGAGGTTATTGTCAGGGTAAACCCAAGTGTTCTAGATGAGAAGATACAGGAACATGATCACACACTAAGGCATCCCCCGCCCTCCCCACCATCACCACTACAAATCTGGAACACTCTATCTCCTGCTGCTATTTCTTCCTCTGATACTTGTAGCCTTCTTGGGTGCCAAGCAAAGAGGAAGGACAGACTCCTCTCCTGAGATCCACATACTGATACTACAACCAGTGACCTGAACGCTGAAACTGAGCGAGGTAAGAAGGACTGGTGCTGAGGATGCTTGGGCAAGAGGCCTAGAAAAGCTTGAATTTTTAGATAGCAGGGTTAGGAATTGAATGTCATCCAAATCCCGGGAAACAGGCCAAGATCCAAGTCAACATTTATCCCACTGCTACAGCCTTTCCCCCTTCCCCCGGTCTTCCAAAGCATAATGCATTCAGAGCTGGAATCCTGGCATTCTCACTGGGTTAGGCCTTTGTGACCAGGGGAAAAGCTAACACATGAGAACGTGTCTATCCCTGTACTGTGCCTTAGGTAGGCCCTCAACACCCTCAGAAGTGCTCTCACATGCATGTCTCTCACTGGATGCTCACAGATCTGTTACAAGCACTGGGCCCATGCAAGAACGCTCTTGCTCAGAGCTTAAATGAGGTTTGGGTAGAGCCAGGTGCACTCCTCATGGTAAATGAGGACAGAGGGCTGGCTTAAAGGGGAGACCTTTTCAGGCAACTCAACTCCCTCTGCCATGACCAGAGTGGTTCCTTTGAGGGAAGTGTTAGTCTCAACACTTGCTCGCCCAGAGCGGTGCCTCAGCGCTGGGGTTCTTTGTTGATGGTGTTCCTGACCAGCCTGGGCTGGGACTTCAGAGAACAAGAGCCTCCTGCCAAGGCAATCTCTCCCAGGTGGTCACTCACCGTCTACATTCCCTTAGTCGGTGGCAACCCTCGCCACTATCTTGACATAATCTTTAAGTGTCTTCTCTTCTGGACATACATTCTTCTGAGAATTTAGCTGGTGAAGAAAGCTAGCTAGCTGGTGATTGATTTTTCAAGTAGAGTGGTTAGAGAATAGTTCAGAGTCATTTAAAACTCTCAGACTTCATTTTTTTCTGCTACTTTTGGCTTTGCCCACTCAGATGGCTGCATGCATTTATTTCTCAGAAATCTTATTATCTAATGTGAGTTATTATCTTCTAGTCTGGGAAGCAAATGCTAATATTGGGCCCTTTTGCTTGTATTGGCAAAGACAGGAATTGTAAGTTGGAGCTTGGCTCAGGGCAGTGTGTCAGTAATTTTCTTTCTCTTCTTCCCCATGGACATGCAGACAGTCTTTGTGACAACCATGGCATCCTCTCCAAAGCTCTGGATCATTCTCTTGTTCTCAGTGTGCCTCCCATGCAGGCTGCTTGTACACAGCAAGGATTTTTCATGGAAGGAATTCATGGAACGGCACTATCTAAGTCCAAACAGAGAATTCAGCGTATACACATGTGATGTCCTCATGAAGCAAAAAGAAGCTCCGAAAGACAAGAACCCCCACATATTCATTTATATCCCATGGTACAAAATAGAGCATATATGTGTTAAGGGCACTTGGAATGATCGTTATAGAAATGCATATGTATGGACCCGGAATACCCTCAAAGTACTCAAGTGTTATCATGAGAAATCTGAAAATGTCTACAAAGAGAGTAGGGGTTACAATCACATTCAATTCCATTGTAACATGGATGGATATGTTGATAGCATAGAAAGCTTAAACTTAACAGAACCTATCCTCTACTAGAGAGTCTACTTACATGCTCATGTTTTGGTAGGCTATTCAGTGCTTCCCAAGTGCTGGCTCTGCATATATCCATAATCCCTTCCACTCTCCACTGTCTATTCATGTGTCAGTATAGAACACTTTAGGGTTAGGCATCACATGGAATTTTGATACTACAACTTTGCCTGTTATTTCTCTATCTGGACCAATCTTCAGTCCTTACTTATTTAATTAACTCCCACATTTTCTTCATATAACATCTCTGCTTGACTAATCTCAAACTTTTCTTGATATTGCCTCTCCTTATCCCTATACAATATAAATGGCAATTACTCCCCAAATAAATTGCATCTTTCCAAACTGTGTGCCATGTATATAAATTTTGTCTTAAGAGTATGTACTTAATGATTGATATGAGTATTGTGCATATATGTGATATAGAATATGTTTGGCTATAATTTGTGCTGTGAATATATTTTAAGGTACACTTGATGTGTGTGTGTCTAACATGTGTGATATACCTATGCATGTGATGAGGTATAAATGTCTACATGCTAAGCTGGAGACGAGTTATAACCTGGGCATTGAGTGTGGTGACAGACTTTGTTAGACATTTATTTGACTCATGATGCTGGTGGGTAGAAAGTGCTACAGTATGACACCATCATCAGATACTCTTGATAGACTCACAATGGATAGTGTCACATGACAAGAGCAGGAGAGAGGAGGCGGGCAAGGAAGCAAGAGAGTGGGGGGGCAGACTCAGTCTTTTATAGAAATTATATTAGTAGGCATTTATTGACTCCTTTGAAAGATAACTTACTGCAAGACACCGTCATTGACTCCTTCACATGGCCAGTAGTGCTGAAATCATTTCCCTTAAAGGCCCCCTTTCCTCAACACCTTTACATTGGAGAATTAGGCCTCAACATTAATTTTTGTCAAGGAAAAGCCACATTTAAACCATAGCATTCTGTAGGGACGGAAGACTGTCCCTGAAAGCTCACATCCTGCTCAGCTACCAAATATAATCACTGCACTATACTAGAACCACACTCATGACATGCTTCTGCATCAGCCTAAAAGTCCCAAACCTCACCTGAAACTCAAGGCAAACCCCGCCCCAACTGCGGGCTGCAAAATCAAAACCAAGTTACACACTTCCAAGACACAATGGTGGAACAGGCCTAAGGTAAACACTCCTATTCCAAAAGGGAGGAAAAGACAAGGTAAAAGGTATCACAAGCAACTCTGAAACCCAGCAGGGCAAACATTACATCTTAAAACCCTGAACCCAGAATCTCGTGCTCAGTGGGGAAAGGAACGGGCCCCAAGGCCTTGAGTGGACCCACATCTACAGAACTGGTGGGCTTTCTGAGCATTTCCACGTTTGTGCCTGTCTCTGTGCTGCTGGTGCGTGTTGGCTGTTCTCCCATGACACCGCTCAGCATTCTAGCGCAGGATCTCTGTGGTTCCACAGCCCCCTGCAGCATATTTCTGCTGGCCTCTCAGGCTTTCCTTTGAAATAGTGGAAGCCCCCGTGTTCATCCTGTGAACCTGCAGAATTAGGACCATGAGGACTCCACAAGACGCCGGCTTTCCCTCTCTAGAGAGTAGCACAAGCTGTACCTGCACCAGCGTAAACCCCTGCTGGGGCCACTGAGCTCCGTGCTGTGGTACATTGAGCACAGTCTCAGGATGGCCTCTGGCAGCAAGCCTGTGGAGAGTGCCTTGGGCCAGTCCCTGAAACACTCTGCCCTCCAAGGCCTCTGGGCCTGTGCTGGATGGCCCTTTTCGCACTGTCTTGATGTCCAGCACCTGTCTCAATTTTAATCTGTGCCAATCTTCTTAGTAAGCACTTGCTGAACTTAGCCCTTCCAAATACATTTTTTTCGTATTTTACATGACCTGTGATTTTTATAAAAGATTTATTAATTCATATATTTATTTATTTATTTATTAAAATTTATATATTTATTTGAAACTCAGAGTTACACAGGGATAGACGAAGAGGTAGAGAGAGAGAGACACAGTGAGAGAGAGAGAGAGGTCTTCCATCACTGGTTCACTCCCTAATTGGCCGCAACAGCCAAAGCTGAGCCGATCTGCAGCCAGGAGCTTCTTCCAGGTCTCCCACATGGGTTTAGGGGCCCAAGGACTTGGCCATCTTCTACTGCTTTCCCAGGCCATAGCAGAGAGCTGGATCGGAAGTGGAGCAGCCGGTACTCGATCCAACACCCATATGGGATGCTGGCACTGCAGGTGGCGGCTTCACCCACTACACCGCAGCACCGGCCCCTCATATATTTATCTGAAAAGGCAGAGCAATAGAGATGAGAGATGGAAAAAGAGAGGGAGAGAGTCAGATAGAGGTCTAATTTTTTTGTAAATGTAATGAAATACTTGAGGTATACTAACTTATAAAGATAAGGGGTTCATGTAACTCATAGTTTAGAAGCTGGAAGTCCAAACGGCACAGTACAGTCTCTTACCAGGGTCCATTACCTGTCACTCATGGCAGATGGCCTTCTTACTGTCATAATCCCCAGGTGACACATGGTATCACACAGCAAGAGACTGGGAACATGCTTTCTGTGTCTGATCTCTGTAGCTCTTTACATACAAAGCCATGAGGACTGAATAATGTGGATCCAACCTAATGACCTAATGTAATCTAATTGTTTCCAAAACAAGATCATTTAAGTTCCCTCCCTCTTAATATCTTTAACATAAGACTTTGGGAGTTAAACAAGTTCAAGGGGACAAATCTTATAAAACTATAGAATGCATGATATTTAATTTTTACTTTGATAAAAACAAACATGTCAAGATCCTATCAGTCAGGGTCAGCATTGTAATGCCACTGCCTGCAATGCCAGAATCCTGTGTGGGAGCTAAATCATGTCCTAGCTGCTCCACTTCCAATCCAGCTCCCTGCTAATGGCCTGGGAAAGGCAGCAGAGGATGACCCAAGTGTTTGGTCCCCTGACTCCAACATGAGAGACCCAGATGAAGCTACTGGTTCTTGGATTTAAAATATAAATGGTATCTGAAATTCCAATTGTTCATTGCAGATTTATAAGAAAGCAGTTGATTTATTTATTATTGTCCAGCCTTCCCAGAAACAGAAATCCTTCTTATCCTATAGATATTTGAAGCCATTAAAATCACTGGATAAGAGTGACTATTTTGGCTGTAACACACAATGGATTGGAAAGAACACAGGCCAGAAGCAGAGTCCGTGAGGGAAGCTATTGTATGAGGCCCCCCCCCCCACCACCACCACCATAAGACAATGAGGTCCTGAATAAGGGTACGCAGCAGCAATGAAAGACAAGACATTCAGAAGGTAACCGTCACAAACACGCCCTTCCCTCTGGGATCATGGGCCTTCTTATACACAGTTCACTCTTTTGAGGCCCTTGTCACTTCTTCTAGCTTCCAACTATTCCTTAAAATTCAGCTGAGGCCTTAGTCCTTCCAATATTCTTTATCCTCTATGATATCCCCACTGTTAGTAAAAACCAGCCCTGCCTTATCTGAGGTGCCATATCAAACCTCAGGCGCCATCTTAGTCTCTGGCCCAGTCGCCATCTTGAACAATAAGTTTTCAGTTTCCCACCTGGCTCACTAGAAGTCAGGTGACATAGATGGTCCAACCACAAGCATCAACTCCACCTCACCCTAATGGCATTTGCTGCTCCCACTTCCCTACCCCTGCAAGGCTATAACAAGACCTGATGTTCTTTACATGCACTCTCTCTTGACCCCTCTCTCTAGCCTGTTGGTCCTCCTGACAATAAACTCTTCAACTCTGGTGTTTGCTGCATTTTGTGCTGGTGCTGTGACTCAGATCCAGGCTTTCCCATCAATCTTGCTCTCCCTTCAGGGATCTGAGCTGCTTTGGGATCCCGGATTTCTGCCAGCCACAAAACACACCCCCAGGACCCTTTCTTTGCCATCAAATGCTCTGTGATTCCCATCCACACATCGGCCCTTCCAAATCCTGAGTTAAGATGGAGTGGGCAGAGGATCCTCTCATTTTGACTTTCTATGGGTTGTGGTTCTATGTGACTTCTCTCTGAAGTCCTGATACCACACACCACAACTCCTATGGCCTCATCCCTTCTACGGACTTTGTGTCCCGGGCAACAGTGGGTGTGGGTGATGACTCAATCCCCTGTATCTCTTCTACAGGCTCTGTGTCCCAGGCTCCGCTGGGTGCAGGTGAGAACTCCCACCCTGTACTCCCTTACTCTCCTTGTTGGACTGCTGTGATCTTGGGGATGCCTGCTATCTGCCAGTCCGACCTCTACAGGTCACTACAGGTGCTTCCTCGTCCCATGTTTCATCTGACTCTCCTCTCCATTGTCTCCTAAATAATTTTGTTCCTCTCAAATTAGCCCTAGATCTCAAACACCATGGCCTCATCTTTCTCTGTAATCAGGCATGGCCCATGTATGACCTCAACAACCAGTCCAAATGGCCACTACTTCCCTTATCCCAGCCAAACTTCCCTTAACGTGGCTACAACTCATCAATCTGTCTCTCACCCTATTTTATCAACTACTGGATTCTGCTTTACCCTTGGCCCTCTACCAACAACGACGCTTTATATGTGCTCCCCTTCAGGAACCTCCTATTGTGGCTACTCTTTTCACTAATGTTTCTGCTTCTACAAACTCCTGTACTCCCAGCACTCAGAGAATCATGTCATCTACTTCTGCATTCTGCTAGGCAAGATGCAACATGTTGGATTACCACCATAACAGAACAACCTAACGAGCTTTTGCCACATAACATTCCCTGTGTCATCAATATAACTATCACTTCCACAGCTTCCTTCCTCCAGCCCACCTGGAACTTCATTTCTTTAAAATCATACCTTACACAGTTGTATCAACAGTTCTACACCAGGGCCATGTGTACTGGTGGTCCTTTTCCCTCATCTAACATTCTATGACTACTCAAATTTCCTTTTACAGACTAGTCCCTCCACTCACAAGAGAGGATCGATGTTCCTCCCAGTCTTGTTTGGAATTAGCTTTGCAGCTTCCCTCTCCTTGGTGGCAATCTCAGGAACTGCTCTAGGCTGCAATGTTACATCCATTAACTGGTTCCAAGAACAACTCCAACAACTACAAGAGGAGGTCACCAGATTCATTAAAATTTCAGCAGATGCTATTCAGGGTCTTCAAAATCAGATCACCACATTAGCTGATGTAGTGTTACAAAATAAAGGAGCTTTGGACCTTATAACAGCTGAAAAAGAGGGAACTTGTGTTTTCCTGGGAGAACAATGTTGTCATTGTGTTAATCAACCTGGCCAAGTAGAGTAAAATGTTAAAACACTCCTACAGATTACCACATGTATTCAACAATCTGGACTAGAAAACTAGAAAGAAGAACCCCTTCTCTCTCCCTTTCTCTGAAGTCCTCTCATACTTGGTTAATGCCACTCCTAGAACCATTGGCTGCTATTCTCACCCTGGCTTTTATACTACCTTGTCTGTTTAAGTGTTTACAGGAGGTGATAATGGAATGAACCAGTCTTCACCAACCTGGCGGTCAACCAAATGTTATGACAGGGATATACTTGGCTCCTCACTCAGGAGATCACGACTTGAGGTGTCACCCCACACCAGCAGAAAGTGACTCATTGCCCAATGCCAACAGGAAGTAGCTCTAGAAGACAGATCATCGTCCCTCCACCCCTCCTGGGGTTTTGGGGCTAATGAATCCCATACAACATCTACTTTATAAAAAACAAAAGGAGGGAATATTAGTAGAAACCAGCCCTGCCTTATCTAAGGTGCCATCTCAAACCTCAGGCACCATCTTAGGTCCTGGCTGAGTTGCAATATTGTACAATAAGTTTCAGTTTCCCGCCTGGCTCACTAGAAGTCAAGTGACCAAGATGGTCTAACCACAAGCGTCAACTCCACCCCTACCCTAATGGGATTCACTGCTCCCACTTCCCTACCCCTGCAAGGCTATAGCAAGAGCTGCTTTCACTTGACCCCTCTCTCCAGCCTGCCGAACCTCCTGACAATAAACTCTTCCTTTAACTCCGGTGTTTGGTGCGTTTTGTGGTGACTTTGACCCACAGTCTTTGTGGAGTTCTTCGTCATACCGTAAGTGCTATTTTATATTTATTAATGTGCATTATACTTGTCTATTTAGTGATTATCTCCTTCATTAGCTCATGAGTAGCACAGTACCTGAATCTGAGTAGCACAGTACCTGGCCCAATAAACACATGCATAACATTTTGTAGGAACTCACAACATTATCTAGTGTGTGGCAGCTACTGTATCAGATTTACATGGAACATTTTCTCTTGAAAAACTGAGTCCACAGAGCTTAAAACTGAAGTCTCAGTTTAGGAAGGAAGCATTCAGCCCATATCAGGACAAATCACTTCCTCAAAACTTTTAGCTGTGAGCCATTTTGCTTCTTTAAGCGGGCTTTCTCTTCCTGTTTGCACAGAGCTAGCAAACTATTTTAAGGAGCAGGCTTGAAAGTCTGCTCTCATGCTTACTCCGCACAAGAAGTTCATCTGCGAAGCCCAAGGTTTCTCTTTATTGGGGCTCAGAACATTTCTTCCCTTACCCTATATGGGCAGCTCTGGTAAGCTTGGAAGAAGAGAGAAAGACCAAAGCTTGTGAGCCTGCAATGAACCATTATCTCTTTTCTCAGAGGAAACCCTAAGACAGAGACCTGTAAAGACCAGAAGCTTCTGGGCTGGGGTGAGTAGAGCAGTGATAATGACCAGGAGCATAAATATCTCTGGAGGGAAGGGGAGGGAACCAGGCTCCTGACACTATCGATGGTCATCAAATGCATGACTGCAGGTCAAAGAGAAAAATGGGGTCTTCCAATCAAGGAAAAAGGTTTTCTTATTGGGCTTTAATTTCTTTGGAATTACGAGATTCTATGTGAAAGAGAAAATGGGTTTTATTTTCTTGAACAGCTAGGAAATCTAGTTAGGATTAAAAGTTTTACTCTTATTTTGTCTACTTCTACCATTATCTTTCCTCTTCCTACACAGAAACGATGGTGCTAGATCTTCAGGGATGTTTGCCCCTCTTCCTATTGCTGCTGCAACTATTGGGTCCCATGTGTTCACTTTGTGCTTGGCCTAAGTACCTCACCAAGGCTCGTTGGTTTGAAATTCAGCACATTCAGCCAAATCTTCTCCAGTGCAACAGGGCGATGAGAGGTGTCAATAATTATACACAGCACTGCAAGCCCTTCAACACTTTTCTGCACGACTCTTTTCAGGATGTGGCTGCTGTCTGTGATTTTCCCAATGTCACCTGCAGGAATGGTAGGCACAACTGTCACCAGAGCCCAAAGCCTATCAACATGACCAACTGCAGACTTACTGCGGGGAAGTATCCTGACTGCTCCTACAGTGATGCAACCCAGTACAAATTCTTCATTGTCGCCTGTGACCCCCCTCAGAAGAGCGACCCTCCCTACCACTTGGTTCCTGTACACTTAGATGAGATTGTCTAAGGCTTTCATCACTTTCCCTCTCATTTAATAAATCTGAATAAATATGCTTTATAATTTCCTCTGCTTTTTTTTTTTTCGGTTTCCTTGTTCCCACTGAAGAAGGAAGGGTGTCAGTGGGAGAATTAAAGAGCTTACGACACCAGACCAGAGATGGGACAAAAAGAAGTAGGATTTCTGCTTTGGAGTTATGTGTATTGACAAAGGCTATAAGGCAGAGGGTAAAGAAAGGGTCAGACTTCCAGATTTTTAAATCTGTGACTTGGGCCAAATAGTTTACATAACTTGTTACATTTAACTATACAACCTTAATTAGCATCTTTACCTCCACTTTATAAATATTGTTTCCAAGAAATTAAATGATTTAACTGAGATCACATTTATAAGTGGCATGTATAATTGACAGAACTTGAATTAAGTTCCTAAGCCCATGTCCTTTCATTCTTACATTAACATTGAGAGGAGATTGTAAATTATTTAACAAGGCAATATTTAAAATTTTTATTTTACTACTTCCTGCTTTATTTGTATGTCCTTGCTAAGGTTTGAATGTGTCCCCCAAAGTTCATGTGTTGGAAATTTAATCCTCAATGCACCAGAGCTCAGAAGTAAGACCTTTAAGACATAATTAAATCATGAGGGCTTTGCTTTCATGAATGGATTAATGCTTGAATTGTAGGAGTGGGTTTGTTATAAATACAAATTTTGTCCCTCTTACTCTCTTGCCTGATTTCTAACCATATGCTTCTATATATAATCTGCATCGCCAGATACAGCCCCTGGATCTTGGACTTCCCAGTCTCCAGAAACATGAGACAAATACATTTCTGCTCATTATAATTGATATTTGACATTCTGGATAGCAGGACATATTGGACTAAAGCCAAAAAAAAGTGAGTCGTGGAGCTGTTGATATTTTTAAAAAACCTGAAAATGTGGACTTGTCATTGGAATAGATAGAGGCGAGAAGAATCTGGAGGATCAGGCTAGTAAAAGCCTACACTGTCATGAGCAGAGCATTAAGAAAGATTCTAGTGAGGATCGGAAGAAGAGAAGAAATGCAGGGAGACTCCGGAACATCTTACAGATTCTGTAACTGGTGGTGATCATAAATCTGGTAGAAACATGGAAGGTAAATGCCACCCCGATGAACCTTTTGATGGAACTGAGGGACAAGGCGTTGGAAACTAAAGTGGAGACCCTTCTTGTTAGACAATTGGGCAGAGCGTAGCAGAACGGTGCTCACGTCCTCGGACTTTGTGGGAGGCAGGTCCCGAAGGAACAACTACGGCAGCTGTGCCTTTAGAGGAGAAGCCACTTCCTCTCTCCTCCTCCTTTTTGTCCCTTGATTTCACACCCTTACCCCAATTCAAACAATACCCCTAGATACTCTTACCTCTCCTTTCCAGTGCCTCTGCTGGGTGCCTAGAGGCACGCAGCCAATATTAGCTCAGTCAATATCATTGGATCTGTGAAGTGTTGTCTGCCTTTGATAACTGTGGATCTGAAGTTTTACACTTCTTTATTTGGTTTCTGGATTCTGATTTGTTTTTTTTTTTTTTTTGTTTTATGGACAACACCTAATGTCTTTCTAACTCAGAGATTATGACTTTTTAAAAACCACAGAGAAAATAAAACAACATAAACCAGCTGGATAAAACAGAGAACGTATTTATTCTGTCCTTTCTTTTGCCATGAGGCAATTTCAGCATTCTCTAGTTTTCGCCTTCCTCTATTTTACCCGTCCAACCTCTGTGAGGAAAAGAAACAGTTACCAGATATAATCTCTCGAACTAAAACTTTGGAGTGAAAGCAGGTTGATAACAGGAGACAGCTAGATGTTTGCACGAGATTTCTCTTAGCTCTCTTGAAGTCTCACAAATAGTAGAAGGAGAAAAACTAGACCACCCTAGAATATCAGTGTCAACAGAGGAAGAAAAACAGGCAGTTTCAAAGCCTTTTGAATGATGACGCTAAGACTTTTATTGCATGAAATTTCCAGAGATTCAACTCAACACTACTCAGAGGGTGCTCAAAGTCCTCAGATGCCCTTCTTTCCTGAGCCCAGGAACCTACATCCATGCCTTCCTTTCCAGCGTTCTATTCTGAAGGCTATCAAATGAAAGTGGTCCTTGTAAATGTATTTCTGTTCCTATGATGATGCAGGAATGATTGGGGGTTTCCTTTCTGTCTTCACCAAGATCCAATGCAATAATCCAAGGAGAATTATGGATTGAAAGTGAGTTGTTTCGGGTATAAGGCGGTGACAAAGAGAAAGTTGACCCAAGAAATGAGAAGACTCAACCCAAGAGAACTAGAAGAATTGGTTATATATTGTACAACAGTATTTGTATGATATTTTGAAAAGAAAAACTACCGTGAAGGAGGATAGATAAGTGGTTGCCAGGTCTTAGGAGATGAGGGAGGGAATGACAATAAAGACACAGCATAGAAAATTTGAGGGCAGGGATGATGGAATTGTTCTGTGTCCTGATTGTAGTAGTGGCTACACTACCACATGCATCAAAATTCATGTAATTGTATACAAAAAGGGCAATTTTACTGTAGGATAACTTTTAGAAATTAAAAACAGGGGGAGAGAGAGAGAGAGAGAGAGAGAGAGAGAGAAAAGAAAACAACTTGGGAGCTAAGCCATAAAAGCACACCCTCTGTGAATCAATAGACTTGGATTTCTTTATTCCATTGTCAGTTCCAGGCCTATGTGTATTCGTCTTTTGATGAAGGAAGTCAGATCACAAAGAGCCCTTCCTGCCTTGAAGGATGTTCTTGATATTCCTTAGTTCTACAGAACTACAGACATGATCACATACATATGTGGTCATAGGTACACATGCTTAGGCTCACATGCAAACAGATTTTGACCCTAGGTTACAACCCCAGCTCCCCTAACCCCAGATTCCCCCTCTTCAAGTGATTGCTTAGTTGTGTTTGTGGAAGAGGAAGGGGAGATGGGGAAGCAAGTCTGCCAAACACACTAGCCCAAAGCATGGCCCGGTTCTACACCTTCATGACACATGTTTCCAATGAGGTCTAGGAAATCCCTGTCCCACTGTCATTGCTGACCTGATCTCATCTCAACGTCAGTTAAGTGGAAGTGGAGCAACCCAGGAGTGAGGGGAAGAAGGGCAGCGGGGATTCGAACCAGTGCTCCTATGGGATGCCAGGGTCACAGGAAGCATTATAGTGCCAGCTCCACAAGGACTATTTTCAAAAGAAGATAATACAGGAATGGGAAGATAAGCATGAAGGAAGGGAGTTAAGAAGACACCTTCCACCTACACAAGGAAACCCAAAATACAGGTGTGGACTTAAAAGTGGAATGGTGACTGCTGTGGCCTAAGCCAGTCAGTATAATATCTGTGCTCTGAAGAAGCCATGTACCAAGTTCCACAGATTCAGCAAATTTGCCATGACTGTTCAGCATCCTCTAATCTTGTGATTAAAGAAACACCTGTTAAGAAGGAGTGACCAGAAGTTGGGCTTCCATTTGGGGTCACCATTGTTTGCCACTCCGCGTATGGATAACTCTGAGTATGACAATATAGAATACCCTAAGCTCAGTAGGCAAGTCTGAAACTATTACCAGATATATCCTTCTTTGATACATACTATGTGTAGTTATAATGTGGTAATTGGGAGTACCCTTTCCTTTAACAATTAGAGAGAACACCCTCCAATGGCCGCTGTGGCCAGCGCTCTGCGGCGCACCGTGCTGATCCAAAGCAACGAGCCAGGTGCTTCCTCCTGGTCTCCCATGCGGGTGCAGGGTCCAAGCACTTGGGCCATCCTCCATTGCACTCCCGGGCCACAGCAGAGAGCTGGACTAGAAGAGGGGCAACTGGGACAGAATCCAGCGCCCCAACCGGGACTAGAACCTGGGGTGCTGGCGCCGCAAGGCGGAGGATTAGCCTATTGAGCCGCGGTGCCGGCCCCTTCCTCCATTCTTAAAATCTTATAAGGACAGAAGCTCACTGTCACACAGATGCTAAGATGGACTCTTCCCACCTGTGAATCTTTTTCCTCTTATACAGCCCTCAGGACCAGGGATTCACTCTAGATAAGAAAATCAGAATCATGAGGCTGGCACTGTGGCATGGTGGGTAAAGACGCCTCCTGCAGTGCCGGCTTTCCATATGGATACTGGTTTGAAACCCAGCTGCTCCATTTCCAACCCAGCTCTCTGCTGTGGCCTGGAAAAGCAGTGGAAGATGGCCCAGGTCCTTGGGCTCCTGCACCCACGTGGGAGACCTGGAAGAAGCTCCTGGATCCTGGCTTCGGATCAGCCCAGTTCTAGTCATTGTGGCCATTTGGGGAATGAACCAGTGGATGAAAGACACACCTCTCTCTCTCTCTCTCTCTCTCTCTTTCTCTCTTTCTCTCTTTCTCTCTTTCTCTCTCTCCCTGTCTCTCTCTCCCTCCCTCAGTCCCTCCTTCCCTCTGCCTCTCTGTAACTCTGCCTTTCATACAAATAAATAAATCTTAAAAAAAAAAAAAAGAAAAGAAAACCGCAGCCACTCTCAACATCACATAAAGACAATGACAGAACTGACCCTACTGGTTTGAAGAAAGGTCTTTCTCTATTTCTGCAACCTCCTCCAGATGCAAGTATAAAGGAGGGATCGAATGTCGTTGATTAAGTGACGACAGAAGCCAGGTCTAGTCCTTTGCATGGCATTGAGGAAGGGTTACCAAGAACTGAGCTGTCTCGCAGGCCAAGTATACTGCAAGTCTGTGAGAGAGTGTGCCATCAAGCACAGGAGAGAACCACAGCTCTACAGCACTTAGTGAAAGACAGACTGGGAGATTCTCCTCTAGCATCAGAAAGAACCATGATAAGGGAGCCAGAAAACCTGGATTCTAATTCCACCTTTGCCACTAACTAGCAAGTCTATGAGCAAGTCACTAAAAATGCAGAGGTTACATTTTTTTAAGAGAGTACAGATGTCATGCCATTTATTAAAAGGCATGCTACAATGCTGTACCTGTTAGGAAAAGAGAATAGAGATACCAAGTAATAGTCAGCAAGTATACAAACTGAATGAAAATGGAATATACTGTAGAGTACAGAAGCTTGAATTAGCCATGCACTATGCATTTAGAAAATATGCTTTTTAATATTTTCATTCTCTTTGCGTTTATAACAATTCACTTCAACAATCACAGATTTCCTTTTCTTCCAATGCCACAACAGAACTTACATTTGGTCAGGGACAACAGACGTGTGGTGCACACAGACTTACCTCTCCCATGCCTTCAGCAGGGACTGTTATTCTACCCTATCACTGTGTAGAATGGTTTCTACAGCATTCTAATTAAACATTTTCAATTAAAGTTGATATGTAAGTTGAAATCTACTTGTTATCTAGCAATTTCTTCATCCCTCCCAGCTCTAAAATCTAGGGTTCTGATTTTCTGAGTAAGCGGATCATTTTTTTCTGCTCACTCAACAAAGAAGGATAAAGGAAATTCAAGGTCACAATTTCATAAATTCCTCCTCCCCACCCTGGGCTCAAGCTCTCCTTCCTTCTTCACCAGAGAATTGTAGTATTCAAGTTCTACCCCCTCTATATAAGGCTGCAGCTCCCTTTTACCTAAAACAGCCTACATTCAAGAGTTTTATGTTCAGCATCAAGAAATCTGCAAGGAAAGAAATTTTTCTCAAGTCACTTAAATCCAAGAGTTAGAAAGGAAGGCACCTAATTACTCCAGGTGCCATACAAAAAGCTAATGGAAACAGAACTGAATGGAAAACTCCAGAAATCAGGATGTTGGTTGCAACTAAGTTTTATTGAAAGAAACAGTGATCAGGTTAACATGGGACTCCCCCCACAACACACTCCTGACACCCCACCACCCAAACCATGGAGAAGCAAGTCTCAAAAAGTGTGTGTGTTGGAGAATAGACTTAACTGGAGTTGTTTCCCTTATGGTAAGGAAGGAGGAAGGGAATGGCAGTGTCAAAATGATGGGCTTGGCGATGGGGGGAAGTGCTTCATTCTGCTCTGGCCTTACTCCACAGAAGCGTCAAAGTGGACTGGCACAAATGGGTTCCCCTCACAAGCTAAAATGATGTATCTTTCTTTCTGAACGGTCTGGTACTTGCAGTCAGGGTACTTGGATGTATCTAACAGGGAGCAGTCTGTGGTGTGCATTTTGGAGGTGCTCCGGTAGCAGTTGGTCTTCCCGTCCTTGCAGGTGACCTTCTCCTGGAAGCAGACTGCCTGGATCTTTTTCAGGGGTTCGTGCACAAAGGTGTTCAGTGGCTTGCAGCCCTGTGTCATGTCCTGTTGCTCCATCTTTTTGTTGCAGTAGGTGCTGCTGAGGGGAAGTTTTGGATCTATGTGCTGCCGCTGGAACTTCTTGGCCGGGGACTCGTTGTCCAAAACAGACTGTGCCAATCCCAGCATCAGCAGCCCCAGGACAAGTAGGATGAGGGGTCTGTCCAGAGCCATGGCGATCTCACTTTCCTGGAAGAGTCTGATTGGGAAAGGGAGAGAGAAAGAGAAGCATCCTCTCACAAAGAGAATTCCTCCTGCCACCTGTGGCCTCCGTGGTTTCCAATCTCACTTTCATATCAGGCAGACATCCCTCTTCCTGAGAGTTTGTCCCAGTGAGGAAACACTGGCATGCACCTTTCTCCAAGTGTGTTTTATTGCCACTTGCTAGACAGAGGCCCTCCATCCCTCCAGGTGGGGATCACAAGTGACCTAAAATCCTGGGAGTGTGCCGGCGCCGTGGCTCAACAGGCTAATCCTCCGCCTGCGGCACCAGCACACTGGGTTCTAGTCCTGGTCGGGGCGCCGGATTCTGTCCCAGTTGCCCCTCTTCCAGGCCAGCTCTCTGCTGTGGCCCGGAAAGGCAGTGGAGGATGGCCCAAGTGCTTGGGCCCTGCACCCGCATGGGAGACCAGGAGAAGCACCTGGCTCCTGCCTTCAGATCAGCACAATGCGCCGGCTGCGGCGGCCATTGGAGGGTGAACCAACGGCAAAAGGAAGACCTTTCTCTCTGTCTCTCTCTTTCTCACTGTCCACTCTGCCTGTCAAAAAAAAAAAAAAAAATCCTGGGAGTATTGTCTTTGAATACTGGAGTTTCTTTGACCCCAAAATACAGTTGAAAAATAAAATACATGTGTGCCCAATGTGCAAATAGCTCATTAGAAGATCATTTTCAATAAACTGTGAGCCAGACCCTGGAGTTATTACCAGGACCATGTTATTATCCAGAACCTTATCTGAAAGAGCCTCGTTCTTACAACTCCAAGGACACTCAGTCCCGTGCCTGCCACTGGCATCATAAAGGGATTTCACTGTATTTCAGTGAGAGATGCTTTCCTCCTCCAGAGTGGGGAATCCCTCTTCTCCAGCCCCATGAGTATCTTTGCAGCCTGCAAGTTCCATCCCCCAAGCCCCTCCCCCTAGCAGATACAGACCTGACACAAGCTTTGTGGGCACTAGTGTCAGCCCAAACTTTCTGACCTATATGTCAGAGCTAAGCAGGAATTACAGAGAAACCAAACCCCAAATTTAGGAGTGGGAAAAGTGCTGAGTTTTCTGGCTCTCTTCTTCCCAACTCTCAAGTAGAAGCAGCTCCTGGAAGCATCTCTTGGGCTGCTTACCTGATCTCCAGCTCAGTCCCCTGGAGGGAGTGGATGGGCAGTTTCTGCAGTTACTCCGTCCATGGGCTGTGCATTTTATATTAAACTGTGAAGGGGGGTTGGCTTCTAAGAAGAAAAGAGCGGGAAGGTTATCTAGGGCTCAGAACAGGTGAAAACAAGGATGTTGTCAGGAAAGGAGTGGGGAAGCAACCAGGCCACTCCCTTTTCAGGACTTTTGAGAAGAGTGAATCATTGCCTCTAAGAATTTTTCTTACCATGTAAACCTCATCTATATGGTGATTCATAAGGAATGCCTGCATTGGCGCCTAAATCTCACATACACCAAAAAAGCCAGGTACCTCTTTGAGGTCCCTTTTCACCAAAGAGTCCTTGAAAGTTAACAAAGGGGGGGCCAGTGCCATGGTGCTGTAAGTTAATCCTCTGCCTGCAGCGCCAGCATCCCATATGGGCACTGGTTCAAGTCCCAGCTGCTCCTCTTCTGATCCAGCTCTCTGCTATGGCCTGGGAAAGCAGTAGAGGATGGCCCAAGTCCTTAGGCCCCTGCACCTGTGTGGGAGACCTGGAAGAAGCTCCTGGCTCCTGGCTTCACATCGGCTTAGCTCCGGCCATTGCACCGGCCGTTGCACCAGCCGTTGCAGCCATTTGGGAGGTGAACCAGAGGGATGGAAGACCTTTCTCTCTGTCTCTGTCTCTGTCTCTCTCTGTCTCTCTCTCTCTCTCATTGTCTGTAATTCTAACTTTCAAATAAATAAATAAAATCTTAAAAAAAAAAAAAGTTAACAAAGGGCTTGTAAGATGACTATGGGAGAGGGAGAACTTCTCTCCCCAGGGGTCCTGGAAAAACTCTGGTTGGAATTCCACATCTCCCAACAGCACCTGACCTGGGCAGGTAGGGCGGGAATAGGGGATTGTCCTGCTGCCCCCCAGGAAGGCTTCAGGACCTGGAGAAGGAAGGAGGGCTGTATCTGATCAGTAAGGAGAGGAAGTGGCTGCTTCCTCTCACCCTCCACCCCCACGCTGGGGTCTATGATGGTTTTCGTTTAAATATGTAGTGATCACTGATTCTATAAGTCAGAGCTGAGTACAGAAATCAAAAGATAAATCAAACTTCCAAATTTTCAGGTGGGCAAAATACAAAATTGGCTGATTGACAGCTCCAGACTAAGAGTTATCCAAGTATCCCTCTGGGATCTAGATTCAGGCAGCAGAGCCAGTTACAGAATTTAATTTCCCTGTTCTAAAGTTTCTTTGTCTCTAAAGAGGAGACAATAATACATACTTCTTAGATTTGCTGTTAGGCTGAAATAAGGTGCAGAAGGCTCTGAGGAATCGCCTGGCAAAGAGAGAGAATTCATGTGTGTCAGCTCTTGCGATGGTCCACAGGGGATGGGAGATCATTTAAACAACACGAGGGGATCTTTGAACTGCTTTTTGATGAGGATAGAGTCAAGTAATTGCCAAGCTTTTGTTTTTGATAAACACGTGAGCTGAAAAACCACAGGCAGTCTTGAAGTCTTGAGGAGAAAAACTGGCAGAAGTGAAGAGAAAAGTGTTACTTTGCTGAGAGGAAAAAAATTTTTTATTTTTAAAGTTTACTTGTTTTTTGGCTATTTAACAAAAATATTTAATGCTGCCAAGAAGTATAAAAATACAGTAGGAATGGCAGTACAATACAAAGTAATCTCTCCTAATTTATTTCTTTTACAACTTGCTATGCTTCATATACGCATTAAAAAACACTTAACAGAACCTGAAATTCAAGGGTTCTGCGAAGTCTTCTGCTGGTGGGTGCTCCCCATTCCCTGGATGCAAGGTTTACTTTGTAAACAGCAGGGAGGCCATCTTCAGGTTTTAGCAAGCCTCACTTCAGTTTCCTGAGTGAGGGTCAGGTCTTGCCTTGCACAGCAATGGTTCAAAATCCATGGCTGCAGAATACTCTCAAGTCAAGAATTTGTAGGTATCTGTCAATCCTGCCCTTTTTCTTTTTTGTTCAGTCTCATTCAGCCTCTGTTTCACCTGCTGCACCTCCTGAGCCCTGGCGGCTCCGTTTCTGTAGAATACTCTCTCACTGTTCTCCAGAGCATCTTGCATTTTAGAGGACAGTCCTGTACCTCGGTCACCTGTCAGTTTTTCTTCATCTAGACCTATTCGGTTCCCATTGCATTTTTTAGTCATTATTTTGTTTGGTGAATGATCAAAAGCAGGAAATAAATCTTCCATATAAAGTTCTTTCCACCGTTTTTGTATATTGGGATCTCCCTTTATACACTTTGCTCCTTCTATTACAGCCATATATGAGAATCTGAGTTGATCTCGTCTCTGAGTAAGTCCCATTCGGTATCTTCTCATGTTCAGCTACACTTGTTTAACAATAATATCATCTCTTTTTTCCATCAGAACAAGACAGGTGTCTACCAGAAAGAAGGTGCCAAAGCGCCCAATGCCTGTACTGCAGTGGATCATCGCAGGCCCACGGTCAGGGTTCAAGAGCCAGATTCTCTCACTTTAAATAAGAAATTGAGAAATGAAGCCAGTGATTCATGGCCAGGTAGTATAATGAAAGTGGGATATTGTTCAGATTTCACCACTACTGATATTTTCTAACTGTAGTCGGTGTACTGGATAATATGACTTCACATCTTCTGACGAGAGCTTCACACTGAGGCCTGTTTCTTTAAACAGCATCTCTCGGTCATCTGCTAGCCAGTACTGTGCACATTTAGCCAATTCTTTCTCGACAGTTCGGTTAGCATGACAACTGCTTTGGTCTTTTGCTGCCAAACCATGAGCCAGAAGTGGCAATATGTATTAGGAACTGGACCCTGTGTTAAGACATAACTGCTCTGCACCTCTTCTGTGTCAGCTAAGTTGGCATTAATATCATCATTTTTAGTATTTTTCAGTTTAACATGACTGTGATCATATGGGCTTACATCTCTGTATCTGTATCTGTTTCGCTTTCTGTTTTCTGGAAACTTGGCCACTCTATGAGGATAGTCATGGGACCTATTTCAAATTTCCAAGTACGGTGGCTGCCAGTGACACTGAGCATCCAGCTCCCTGAATGGGATCCCGCTGGATGGTAGTGGACATGGCGGCTGGAGCGACGGGGACCGCCTCTGGCGGAGAGGCTCAGGCCCCGCAGGACCCTGGCAGAGCGCTGGCGGTGCAGCGCGTGTGTGGCGGATACTGCCCAAATGTTCACAGTGAGGCCACAGGCTCCCGAGTACTGGACATAGCTGCGGTCCTATTCTGCCTCAGCAGGCCTTGCGGCTGCAGTAAGCGGAAGGTTATTGGGTTATTACTGGGTATTGCTTTAAGGAAGACCCTTTATCATACTTGAAGGGCGTAGAAAAAAAGCCGAGAGCAACATGAGCTTTTGCTTCCCACCATAAATATGTCCCGCGATGCTTACGTCCCCTACTTGTTATTCTTTTACTGTTAATCAACCAGCCAGACATTCCTGATTACTATGTTACTTTTTCAACCCTGGACTAAAAATAAAAGACGCCGGCTGGAGCTATCCATCGGCACTCTTCTGATAAAGGCTCCCGTGTCTTGGCTCATCATCTGAAAATCCGCAAGCAGCCCCCAAACAGGGACCCTTGGCACAATGTGCAAGGGATGGCTCACCTCACCCAGCAACAGTTAGACACTTCAATCATCTGCTCGAGATCCCAGTGAGTCAGTAAGATGGGGAATTCTCTGTCCCCGGAGCAATGGAAACATAGGGCAGAACTGACTTATTTGCTTAAACAAGCCGGATCCTCCATCACTGCAAGAAATTGATGGCTGTTTCTCTTGGTATCCCGCCAAGGGCACACTAATGGTGGCAGACAGGGAGAAAATAAGACAAGAACTACAACAGGAGCCACGAGCCCCTGTTCCTGAGCTGTGTGCATGGTGTTGCTGTTGGGAAGCAATCGGTGAGGTTGCTAGCCCGTTGGTGGCTCTCCAACTTTGCCACAGAAGACTGAGCCTTCTAATTCTGCTATGGTTGCTGCAACAATGGAAATGCCACCAGTACAATCAGCCTTACAGGGAATGTTTAAAGAGGCCCAAGAGCAAGGGGACCCCTTGTTAGCTGTTCACCCTATTATTAGCCCGGAATGATACTCTACCTTATAATGGATTTAAAGAACTAAAGAAGAGTCTCACAAAACATGCGATGCAAAGTTCCTATACTATAGGTTTGTTCAAAAGCATAGGAGGAGGCTGTGAAATGAATCCTTGGGCTTGGCAAACTTTGGTTTAAGTTTTGGTTACACCAGCTTAATATACAGTTTGTATATAAAAGATACAAGAATATCAAGATCTGGCCCACATACCAACTATGAAAAATCTGACTGGGGCCAGTGCTGTGGCATAGCAGGTAAAGCTGCCGCCTGCAGTGCCAACATCCCATATGGGCGCCAGAGCAATACCCAGCTGCTCCTCTTCCAATCCAGCTCTCTGCTATGGCCTGGGAAAGCAGTGGAAAATGGCCCAAGTGCTTGGGCCCCTGTACCTGTGTGGGAGACCCAAAAGAAGCTCCTGGCTCCTGGCTTCAGATCGGTGCAGCTCCAGCAGTTGTGGCCATCTGGGGAGTGAACTAGCAGATGGAAGACCTCTCTCTCTCTCCCTGTCTTTCCTTTTCTCTCTGTGAAAAAAAGAAAATATGACAAATGGCATTCCTAATAGGTGAAAGTGCTTTTGCCACAATCAATCAACAGGTCGGCTATCCCTGTGGAGAAACTTATACCCAGAGTTCTAATGTGGCCCTAAAAGCCTGGGAAAAGATTCTGGGTGTTAAGGACCCTTCCATCTTGTTTTCTGTTATTAAACAAGGACCACAGAAAATTACATGTCTTATGATTAATTAGAAAAGGCTATTGAGCGTCAAGTCAATAATCAGAAAGCAGCTAACATTCTCTTAAAACAAATGGCTTACAAAATGCAAATCAAGACTGTAAAAATGTTTTAAAGGCAGTCTATTCAAGTGCTTGGGCCCTGCACCCCATGGGAGACCAGGAGAAGTACCTGGCTCCTGCCATCGGATCAGCGTGGTGCGCCGGCTGCAGCACGCCAGCCGTGGCG